CGCATGAGGTCGAGCCGATGACGAGGGCGAACTACCGCCAAGACGACTGTCTGTGCAGCGCTGAAGTCCAATCCGACGCCGCCAGCTGTCACGCCCACAATGGCTACTCGAATCTCGTCCCGGTGCTTGAAGTCCTGGACCGCGGCTTGCCGGTCGTGGCCGAGCGTGCTGCCATCAATCCTGACGTAAGCAACGCCGCAGTCGTGCACGTATCGCTGCAAAAAGAGAGAAAAGTTGGCACCGCTTCTTCAAGATGAAGAAGACTCATCAACAGAACTCTCTAGAGGGGGCATAACGAAAACATCCATCTTCCGTTCCTGCATCGCACCTTTAACCAACGTCTGAGGTCGTGTGAATGTTGATTCAACTCTCGAGAGTTGATGGGCTCCTTGCTTGCGGCATCCATTCACTTCAATGTAACAATGTCCAGAGAGGCTCATGATTCCCATATTATATTTGTTGAACATGAGCTCAGCGAACCTCACGTTTGTAAGAGCTTGAAAGTGCGAGAGTCACCAGTGGGGTTCGGCAAAGTACAACCACAGTGGTTGAAGATGTTTCAGAAAGGCAGTCACGGTCAAATGCGAGTGCCTTAGAACTCGTACCTGGATTCGGTCGAGCACCTCGATATGGTGAGCGAAGATGATCATTTTGGGTACGTCTTCTGCCCCTTCCTCTTTCTGGGGGGTAAGGCCCACGTTGTTCGCCAGCCACTCCCTTACCCCCCGGAGCTTCGCCAGCCCAATCTGTTGATACGTCAGGCCCCCGTCTTCCTTTCCGCTGACGTCTGCATAGGCAAAAGCGGAAAGTGAGCGGTAAGCAAGTGGTGCATGGTATGGAGCCGCCACATGATTGGTGCCGGAATCGTATCTCTGCCCCCGTTAATTTCTCAGCGGGCGGGATGATTACTTTAGTGACCATGCAGAGTCCTGTCTCGCAAAGGTAGACATGAAAAGCCCAAGCTGCCCCCGAAATGTTTCAGATCGGACTCTTGAACACTCCCACCGCTTATGTCATCCCTTTCACCGCCTCTCCGTTTCTCCTGTCCCCGCTTTCCTCCCATAGCACCAGAATGAAGCATAATGATCCTTTTGCAAAATCACCGTAGGTCAAACCCCCCTGCTTGCTTTCTTCCGCAAGCATCACAGACTGCTTCCTAAGCAACCTCCCAACAAAAGCAGACCACGTCACCCCCTCAAAAAGCATAAGAGAAAAAGTCACTCACCCCCCCTCCACCAGCCTTCTCAGCGCCTCTTCTTCCACCTCCCCGTCCTCGCTTTCTTCCGTCAGCACCTTAGAGAGCTTCGTAGCAACTCCTCTCCTAAAAGAGGTTTCCAAACGTGCCCCCCAGAAACCAAGAACGGAAGTCAGACTTACCCCCCCCCTCCACCAGCCTTCTCAGCGCCTCTTCTTCCTCCCCCCCCTCCTCGCTCTCTTCCTCCAGCATCCGAGCTTCCATCCTCGCAAACTTGCGCCCCCGCACCTTCCCCATCGCCGCCAGCTCAGCCGCCAACTGAGCGGTCCGTTCTTTGGCGTCCTTGATGTCTCCCGCCTCTAGTTTCAGCCGGATGACCTGGCGCCGCTTCGGGGGGAGCTGATCCAGGACGTCCGACTTGAGCCGCCGGACCTGGGGGGAGCGTCCAAAGATGGGTTTCACAACTCAGACAACTCCACTTTCTCATGGTTACACAGTTTCATCCTAATTGGGCTTGAAAGGGTACTCGACCGCTCCCCAATACAACGACGTCCCTCCCAGAAAGCGCAGGCGAGAAAATCGACATGACACACCCTAGGACACTGACCTCATAGTTCGCAATATCGCACTTCCTCATGCGTTCTTGTTCAGGCCAACTTTTGAGAATTTGAACTGCTGGTAAGGTAAAAGCGCGGACTCTCCTAACCATGACAGTCTCCGCCAGCAGCACGTGGAGTCCATGGAGCCTGACTCTTTGGAGTAGTCCCTTCACTCCGTACATTAGTTTGATCGTATACAAACGATATGAGCACGTAAAAAAACGCTCTTCTCTTCCGAAAGAAGTCTCCCCAATTCCCTTACCATGACAGTTTCCGCCAGCAGCACGTGCAGTTCATGCAGCCTGGCCCCCTTGGAGTAGTCTTTCACGATATTGCCGCACCCGCGCCGCAGCGTGCGCACGTCACAGTACGCCTTGGCGAACACGTACTTGGTGCGGCCGAGCAGACCGGTCCACAGACCATCGGCCTGGTGGAAAATGTCGAACGGCCTGCAAAATGTAAACTTCAAAACATAAAAATCGGTCTAAGAGTCTGACAAGGAGTGGCTAAGCAACACGGCGCCCGCAGTACGTTTCTGGCAAACGCAAAGTTGTTAAAGCCGAGCAGACCGGTCCACTAACCATCCGCCTGGTGGAAAATGTCGAACGGCCTGCAAGAAACAAGTGGTTAAAACTTGGTTAGGACTCTCGAGGCTTCTGCAAATCCAAGGGTTAATGGAAGAAACTTCGATCGTGAAAGGCAGATGGGGCAAGGCCGATCGGAGCCATCTACCTGACGTCGAAAGGCCTGAAAAAGACTTTCAAGTTATCTGGGTTAGTGACTTGGTGTTGGGGCTAATGAAAGACGTTTTGGTCAAGCCGAATGAGCTCAACCGAGTCGTTGCATCGGTACGCGGGCCGTCCACTGCTTGAAGATCATTTCTGTGAAGGGCCAGCAAGAGAGGCCGAGTTCAAAATTGGAGGGTCAGGGACTCGGTTCAGAAAGTTGGAGAGCGTCTATCCCTAGAGCAAGAAGCGAACGGTTCATATGCCGTCAACCTGGTGGAAGATGTCGAACGGCCTGCGAGGCTGACACGAGAATCTTAACCCGGGGCGCCATAACCATTCGTTTGCTGGTTAAGTTCTTTCGCCTTTTCTACCTGGCTGACGAGCCCCAACGGCCTTTGAATAAAGATCGAACGACGGAATAGGACGACTCTCTGGAGGCATCAGGACTTTGAAACAGTATGCCCAAACAATATGCCTGCTCCGAGATCCATACGCTGCAGGTTCTTTAGGTTGGATTGACAGAGATGGCTCTGTTGACATACGACCCCAGCAAGATGTTAGCCGAGTATCGGAGATGGGCATCGTGACGTAGCGAGCTTATGCTACGGTATCGGAGGACTCACAGGAACAAGAACGAAGACTGAGTGTCAAGAGGCGGAAGAACGGACAAAGCGAGTTTTTATCACAAGGTGCTGTATCCGACGAACCTGTTAAGCGACGGCGTTCCGGATAGCAGGACTGCTCGCTTCGTCTTCTGCAGAAACTCTTTGACGGTCTCCTTTTCCTCCGTCTCTTTGGGATTCTTGGTCGTCCGCAGGTTGTGACTCTCGTCCACTATAAGCACGCCCCACTTATGGGCCGCAAACGTCCGCTTCAGGCGCCGCAGCATCGTATACGAGATGACCACAACCTGGGGTTGGGAAGCAGAAACGTCAAGGAAAGAAAGGGTACGTGCCGTGAAGAGTCGAGCGATCCTTGAGACGAAAGACCGATTCACTGTGTGCCAAGAAATTGGCCTAGAAGACGCAAGACTACATGAACACATCTTTCGAAGGCAAGTGCGGATGAATTCAGAGCGGAACGATGTGACAGAAGGTGGATGAGCCGGTCGAATGAGAGAGCAGGCAGCGTTTTTCGACTAAATATGAAGCCCGGCGTGTGCAAGCGGCTCCCCAGTGGCCTCAGAAATTGCACAAGAAGAATCTAACGGTGTCTGGTCAATCTCACAGGCACGTATCTTGACCTTGAAGGTCGTTCCAGTCTGCCCAGACCGACGTGATCAGATTAGGTGACAACATACTCTTCTATCCAGCCGAAAAGCTGCTTCATGTCATGCCTTACCAACCTTATCAAGGAGCATTCTAACACTGAACGAGAAAAATGATTTGATCCTGGTCTCGAGCGATCAATCTAACAACTTACGCACGAACTAATGGGCGCTGGAACTAAGATGGGCGCCCGCAAGTCGGGTGCGGTTGGTCCGGTGGTTATGGTGAGTTCGGGTGCGGAGCGCATCATTCTTTGGTCTAGGAATTTTACAAAAGTACTCGGCTAATTTGGGTCGTATTTCAAGCGACCACTTCAAGTTTGCCAAGATTGAGCGATAAGCCTCACCTTTGGGCACGGCACCCCTTCTTGCAGATCGTTCTGGAAGGAAAACACGAGGTGCACGTCTCTTGGGCCCAGGAAAGGAAGCCACCTCTCTAGTTCTTCCGCCCAAGGGAGCCGCATGCTGGCAGGAACGACAACGAGGAGGGGCCACTCGGCGCGGTAACAGCTGGCGATAGCAATTCCCTGGAGGAGTGAAAGCGACAATCGGGTTGGTGACTCGAGAAAAAGTTGGAAGGTCTAATTCTGAGTGCTTGGGGCACCCGCTGCAGAGCGTTCCTATCTGCGGCCTCAGCAGATTTAAAAGTCAAAGCAATCTGGAATGGCCGAAACAATAGATGCAGATAAATGGGCTTCCGGACCTTGGACCGGGCTCGATTGCACAAGCCATTAGTTCTGAATCAAAAGTTGTCCTTGAAAGCCTTTGTGCCTGATCTGGTCGGACCTCAAAACGTTGAAGGATTTCACAATCAATCACGTGCATACGCCAATCTGGTCACGCGCAATATAAAGCAAGCGCGCTGAAACTACGGCAGTCTTTCTTGTTCTGACGCATAGATTATCCGCATCGATCTTGGAGCCCCTCTGATAGAAGCACCAGAGGACCACTCAGATCCGCAAAAGCTGCAACTGAAAAATAATGTTCAGCAGATCATCTTTGCACAATCCAGCGGTTACCAACAGCTGCAGTGAGGTCCATATTCTCTCCCACCTGTATTGTCTTTCCCACCCCCATTTCGTCGGCTATCAGGCAGCGCCCCCCCCTGCGCAGGCCGTACCGCACCCCCTCCCACTGGAACGGCAGCAGCGTCTTTCGCAGCCCGGCCGGAAGGCCCTGTTCCATTAGCGCGTCCACTTCCTCGTCCCCAATGTGCCAACTTTTGAGCGGCCGCCACGAGCTGTCACAGGGCCTCTTGATGGGAGGGACTGGAGACTGGGCTCCGGAGGGATCCCCCGGCACCAAATCCCCTTTCGTAATCTCTTCTTTGGCACTGTTCGACCCGCTTCCAGCGCTTTCGGCAGGGCCCCATCTGACGCGCAGTGCCCGCAGTGTAGACTCTGGAATGCCTGCGACATTTGCTTCCGGGACCTTTGACAGGGCCCTCAGAACGGCGTCGTAAGTGACTATGGGGAAAACGAGAAAACCCTCGCTGTCCAGAGTCTCGTCAGATACCCACTTCTGTGGAAGCACCCCTGGGCACGCTCGCTCGAGCACGGACCTAGTTCTCTGCTCCGGATTCTCAAACGAATCTGGTGCGAATACACTCCCGATGGGGGGTTCGCAGAAAGCATACTGGACTGAGACCCTCAAAAGGTCGACCGTTTGGAGTTCGAGGGAAACCTCTAGAGGTCTTGGAATGACCTCAGGGCCCTGAGGCATGACGGGAATGTTAAGAGGTTCTGGGATTTGCTGGAAGGACTGTGGAAATTGGGGATTTGGATCAGGCTGGTGTGAAGAGGCGGCGTTGCAGAATGCCGGTAACACTCTCTGGTGAGGATGCGCCATAGGCTGCACATAAGCCGATCTAACCCCCCTCGCAGCTGAGTTTATGAAGACCCCCTCAGAGGGTATGTTGGCACTGGCGGGCGCAGTCAGACCAGAGAGACTATTTCCTCGGAGGGGCCTATTCACATCAGAAGAATTCGCTGCAGTCTGCCTCTCGCCCCCAGAGTTCCCCCCCTGACCCTCATCAACATCGTCCCAGAAGTCTTCTGGCACCTCATACTCGGGACTGTTGCTCGGCTTCTCGCTGCCAACCTCCGGCTTAAGTCCGTTGCGCAGCTCAGTCTTGCTCGCGTCCACATCTTCTATGTTCACCTCTGCCCCTCCAGATTCCGCCGCCTCTGCTGAACCCCCGTTCCGGCGACACGCCTGTAGCGAGGGCAAGTCACAGCGCGCATCTGAGCACTTTGGCGGGGGGCGGGCAGCAGGCGAGCTGGCGACACCTGGCAATCCCTCATTTGCTGGTGGCATGTGAGAAGGACCGGGCGCAACGCTCTCCTTCCCGGGCTGACAGCTGGCGCACTCCGGTGTATCGCCTGTTCCTCCATAGCCCCCAGACGGGCCTGAGGGAGGGGCGGCATTGGCAGGGGAAGGCAGGGCCGTCAACCATTGGAGATGCAGTTGAGGGAAGGGGACCTCCGAAAGAGGGGGCTGGAAGTGTGGGGGTATACTGAGACGGGGGGTCACCTGACAAGGGGCTGTCTGCTGAAATGTGGGGATAGATATCCCTGGGGACGTGTGTGCTGCCTGGTACCACGCGGCCGCATTCCGCCTCCGCAGCGCCGCCATCCGATTGGCATCAATCCGGCTGCGCTGTTCCTCAGAGAGTGCGACGCCATCACTGTTTACAGGAGGGATGGGAGGGGCCACATCTGAGTACGGCCGCTGCTCTCTAAAATTGTGCCCCCTATTCTGAGGAGTGTGCTTGTCAACCACAGAGTGGGGGGGTGGGAGGTCGGCACCAGGAGGCCGAGTGCTTGCTCCAAAACTTGAGACAATAGGCGCCACATTCAAAGGACTTGAACCTGTTTGTTGGACGGCTGGCGAAGCTTGATTCGACGGGCCCAGCTCTGCTTCCCCCGCCACAGGCTCACTCGCTCCCCCCCTTCCACCATGTACACCGGCAGCAACTTGCGGTGGGGGGGTGACACCAACTTGACGCCGCTCCGCTTTCACAAGGATTGCCTGGAGCGACGCCTTCTCCCCCGACAATTTCCGGCGACCAGTGCTTGGAGAAGCGATTGGCACGGGGAGCGGAGCGTCCCAGTCCTCAATCTGGTCTGGCAGGCCATCCCACCAGGCGTCTTCCTCAGCGGCTGCCATGTCGGCTTCCAGCTTTTGATGTTTAATGCAACTTACAAAACATTTGCATTCTCAGCTTGGACAAGGAATGCGACAAGCTGGCAGGCCTCCCTAGTCCCACATCCTGAATTGCATGAAAAGACTGCATCGGAAACACCACCACATGTGGATCAGGATGGCGCCAATTTGCTGCTTGAAGTTGAAGTTGGAAGTCAGCTAGTGCAACATAGTGACAAATGCGGATTGGAAGTCTTAGATAGATTTCGAGGAGGAGGCTTTCTCAATCGTCGATAGTCTGAGCATTGCTGGCTGGACGGTGAACATGAAGCGCGACAAGTTGTGGTGTTTCATAAGAACCGTCGATGAAGGAGAGTAGTTGGTTGGACGGCTCACTTCCGCCCCAACGTTTGCAGAATGAACCTTCAGTCAGGCTAGGCACGGTAGTGGGGAAATCGAGGAGCAAACTTCCTCCGGGAAGTTCGGGAGTCGGAGGGACTTACATCGCGAGCCGTCCGATGGTGCCACGCGGCTACCGATCGACCGAAAGTTTGACAAGCAATTTTAGTCCGTACCGCCGATGACGTACACTGAATCTGCTTTTCGCCCACTGTAGTACCTAGTACAGTGTGTCTGGACTCTGCACTGAACTGGAGGTACCTAGTAGCCTCAGGCAGAGGCTAAGCCATTGCCGCGATTAAAGAAGCTTGAAGTTGAAGTTGCATGGGTTGATAGGTTGCGCAAAGAGATACAGCACAAGACTTCTGGACGTTGTTTGCATTTCAAATAGAAAGCATTCACCATTGTTTTCAGGCTCTAGCTCATAGCGCTAAATCCAAATCATGTGTAGCATCGGGGGGTTTAATATTAGGAGCTCAATGCTCTATTCGAACTTTTATATCGGGAGCGAGTTCCTTTTACCATGTTTTGGTAGTATGACTCATATATTTCTCATATGGTATCAATTCTCATTTGATAGTTTTGGGGCTAAGTTCAATCGCTTGCCATGATGCCATGAATTAATGGTAGCGTGTCTGGAGAATATTTCGAACATCGTCATACACGAACCTTTATATATGTATTGAATTGTACCCGATTGTATAGATTCATGCGTTTGATACATTGAAGCAAGAAGGGTAAAGAAACCTAAGAAAACCATGCTTTCTATAGAAGAAGTGCTACCCAGTTGCTGTATCTGCAGCGCTGCGCTGTATTCTTTCAAACACTTTGCTTAATATTTTGACGTCAACACCACCTCTTGTGGTGTACGATGGCTCAAAATGCATGTACTCGAAAGCACTAAGAGGACTGGGCACTCCGATTGGTCACATTTGTCGATCTTCCCCGATCTCCGGAGGCCTGGTTAGTTGGGAACTACGGTAAAACCTTGAATTTCACAAACTTGCGTGCCCAGCCTTTGTTAGGGTGCCCCTTAATAACATTTCCCCCCCTGGTAATGGTATTTACCCCTATGCACTGAGCCCAATTAGGGACGGGTCAGGAGACCGTTAACGTTTCACCAAGGCCGATCGGACGGCCGCGGTTCCGATCCCGCGCGGTCCGGTCAATCGAAGTTGTGAATTTACGTCACCGTCGCACGTGTGCCTCCGGAAGTTTGACCTGTAGGCCGTGCCGACCTTGACCTTCAGAGCAAGTACTACCCTGTGCTCTTTTGCCTTTTGCCCCTTGTCTTTGAAGCAATGGCGCGGGCTGTGCGCTGAGAGTCAGACGGTGTGGTTGTGTAACTGACAGTTTAGGGGCTGCGCGGCTTTCTGGTAGGGCCTGCGTTCAGCTTGCATTGGTTTCCTTGTTCAGCAAAGGTCTGTGGGTCCAACGAGAGCCTGGACTGCAAACAGCGGGTTTGCCAAGCAGTATCCCTCTCTGGCGCAGCGACATTGCTCGGCCCAGTCACCTCTTTACAAGATGTGACGCCCTGCTCATCTCGTCAAACGGCTCGGCGGCGTTGGATTTCTTTGGCAGCTGTCCATTAAGAATCTGTTACGCATAGAGAGCGATGAGCTTTGCTGGGGCCAAGGACGAAGCGCGCCGCTGGTTCAACCAAAGCATGCCTGGTTTCTCATTCTCAGGTTTTGCTGGGGCCAGGAGCCTGGGGGCGACAGAATTGTGCATGGGCTCTGAGACAGCCAGCTACTTGGTAAACCAGTAAACCCTCGATAGTCTTTGCTTGAGAAACTTAATCTACCTGACAGCTCGCATGCGCTGCCCTTCAGGACAACATGTACACTTCCAAAGTCACGAGCTGAATTTGGAGCATAGTTACTAGCATCAGCTAGAAACGCCCTTTACTTACCACCCCAGAGTGAGGTTCTTGTGACTTTGCCCCCCCCCTCCCTAGGGCTATGTCCCCCCTGAAGGCCTCCCCGATGCGCTCCCGCTTCGGCAGGAGCGCGAGCCTGCCCTCCACTATTCTCTTCAGTGATAGCGCCCCCCCAAAAGAAGAGCGGCTCAAGCCATCGCCCTCGGCAGACTGGGAGGAAGCCGCCCGCGACCAACTCGAGATTCAGGCCCTCGCTTCTTCTATGCTGCAAGCTGCAGCAACCGGCTGTTTCTACATAACGCCCGCTCCTGTGATTTTCAAATCCCCTCTGCCGAGCGATGGGCAAAGCCCCCCAAGCCCAGACTCTCCGCTGCCCCCATACTGGAACAGGGGGGTGAATGGGTACGCAGATAGCTCAGACCGAGGGGGGGGTGCGAGCCCGCCAGCGCAGGTTCCGAAGGATGAGCTGGTTCCGGGGGGCCAATACGGTGTCACATGGTGGGACAGCCGAAACGCGGAGGCGCTCGTGCGGGGCCGCGTGGAAAAGTTCCTCTGTCTAGATCCTCTATTGCTGGCGAATCAGCTGAGGGAGCTTTCATCCTCAGAACCTGCATTCATCGAGGGGGGGCCGCATCATTTGACCAATCTAGTCGACGTGTTTTGGAGTATGGCATGCAATTCGGGGGGACGGGGCACCGTTTTACCCCCCCCTGACGGGGGAGGATACTGCGGCGTGTGCTTTGCTGAGATGGGAAGGAGCAGTTGCTACAACCCGTTTCACGCGAGGGGGGTCCCAGATTGGTGGCGGGAAATGCAGGAGTACTGGGACGAGTCGCTCGAGAAGGCGCGGGAAGACGGGCGCGATGTGGACTGCATGTTCTTTTGTGGGAAGATGGGGTGTCTAAACCCGGTGGCATGCACATTCAGGTGAGTCTCTCAGGCCAACTTTGAAGGGGAGACCGCCTTCCAGCAAGCAATTCAATCGATTCTTGGTTGCAACAAATTGCGCAACAAGTAATGTTGCACAAGCGTTCGGATGATTTTGTTAGACTGGATCAGGTCAGTAAACGGTTGTCTTCCTGACAATAAGAGGTGCTTGTGAGATGGAAGGTGTTTGAGGTAGTAGACCATAGTGGTTCCTGTCATTGGCTCTTTCTGAAGAGGAGCATGGATGGGCAGTAGATGCTGCTTTGCTCCGGTTGCCACCACTTCGACATTCCTTTTGAAACGTGAAATCACCCAGATTTGTCCTTCTTAGGCATCCTTGGACAGGTCTTGCTGCTTCTATCTGTTTCTTCATCCAGCCATCAAATCACGATGCAACTTCTTGAGGTGTAGATGCCCTTTGCAGGAACTCGATTCTTGTCAGCACATGAAACAAACCGCACACGAAACAAACATGTTGCTCATATTCGAGCCTTCTATGTAAGTTAGATATGCTTCGAAGCAAGCCATCTAAGTAGGTTTTTCCAAGATTGGATGCTAATTCGGATGGATGTCACTGGCTTTTTCCAGGCATGACGAACAAGCTCGACGCAAGATCTGCCAAGAGACGGGCAGGATACGACGGCGAGCCACCTTTGGATCCTCATGGATGGCAGATTTAGGCTTGCCAGGAATGTTCTAGCAGCTTCCGTGTTTTCCGGTGCAGCTCTTAGTTGCGGACCATGAGAATCGTGAAGCTGCGGTGTCTTCTGCATACGTGCAGGGTTGAGAGGAGCTAAGATTTGGTGTAACGCCAAATGTACATAATTAGAAAGAAAAGAAGACTTGCACGAGTAGGTAGTGTGGGGAATCTGTAATTATGTTTCATCCCAGAAACGAATGATCCAATAAAAGACCATCAGCGGCGTCGACCTGTACACATGATACTCATGCCATCCTACATGCATTGCATTCTGCATCATGGTATATTCTCTAATATTCGTCGGATCGGCCATGTCAAATGACCGTTTCGTTTGCACAATTGAACCGCGTTGCATCGAATCGCATATATATATATAAAACACTGTGTGCTTGAAAAATATCATGATACGTCATGCTGATTGCACATGAAGCGTATATCATAGCAAACCAATGTGCGGTCATGCTTGCTTGAACCTTGCGCGCAAAACAATCGCCTGTAAAGTCTCAATGTTTTCGAACACATTGGAGGGGAGTGCCGTGAGCTCAAATTTCAGACCTTGCCAGGTAGTACTTGATCTCCTTGGATAAAGATCGACTGTACAGCTTGTACCTTCTAATATGCATGGACTACCATGTAGGTATACACCATGTACATGACGCGATACACTATAACCTGCAGACAACGAGCATAGAGCTTCAATCAAAACGACTTCCTTGTCTTGTCAATCACTGGTAAAGACGAGCCAAGAGAGCCCTAAATTTCTATCCGTCTAGTGAAAATGCTTAATGCACAGATCCGCCAGTGAATTGCCAACCATGTTGACAAGGATGGCTAGCAAGATGAATCCTCATAAATCAAGGTGCTTCTTCAGGCTTTGAACAATGCTCACCTAGACCCTGAAGCGAATCTTGAAGTGAACGCCGTCGACCTCCTCCTCCCTGTCGGTACCATACGCTTCAATGTAAATGTACCCGACAGTCTTTGCAAGAGTCCGCCCTGTCGCCCACTTGAGCAGCTTGGAGACGCCTTTCGTGTACAGAACGAGTTGAAGCTTTCCTTTCGCCAGCTCTGCAAGGAGAGGAGGCACCTTATAACCCTACTCTTGGTGTAGCTTTTACGAGCTTTAACCAAATTGAGCTCGTCCTTGTCAAGAGCACATTATAGACAGACCAAAACGCATTGCATTCGAATCCGAACACCCAACGTCACCCTGCAAACCAGGAGAATAAAAGGTCCAGCTCTTTGGCAGAGAGTCTAGAGAGTCTGGTTCGATCAACGAGACTCGTCTCGACAGGTGGAAGACCAAACGTATTGAAGATTGGCACGAAATATCGAAATGAAAAAAACACGGACGTTCACTTTGGTTCCATTAGTTTGCAATGTTTAGCAAGAGTCAAGGAAGACGAACTTACGAAGCTCACTCCTTTTCGCTTCTCCTGCCTCCATCTCCCCAGACCGCCTCCTCGCTCCTCCACGCATCCGACCATGTCGATCTCGATCTGTCTCCTCCACTCGAGACGTCCGCTGCCGGCCCCTTTCTCGTTATCTCCACCACGCTCCCCTTCTTTACCGGCGAGCGTCGTCAGCTCTTTCACCCCGGGCAAACCGCTCGACACTACTGAATGAATGAGAATTGCCAACCCCGGGCCCTTCTCCCAGTCGAGCAGCGCCGCGTCTTTGCTGTTGTTCAGGTTCCGCCCTAGCGTGGTAAAGCTCTCAAGGAGGTTGGTTATCCACCGGGGACACTCTATTTGGCTCGTGTAGAGCTCGCCTATCGTTTTTCCCACTAACTCGCAGAGGTGGCCAAGTTCCATTTCTGCATTTCGAGAAGGAAGATGGTGTAAGCTCACCCAATTGCTTGTTTCACGAGAGCGGCTCGCCGCGAGATGCCCGCTTTCGAGGAATACTCTTGCTACCAGTTGGCGCGAAAGTGTCATCAGGAGCTTGACCTAACAACTCCTTCTCGAGCCTCAAGTGCACCATACCGTTTGCCTGCACATTCTTGCCCAATTTTTAGGAGGCTTTCCATGGATCTCGTGCTTCTCACTTGGGTCACCTTGTGGTGAGGCCCCCAGCATGTTTGTCACTTGGCTCGCTAAGTGGCTGTCTCTTGTAAGACACTCACCTTTGTTTGCCAGGTGAGCCGACGGCACAACCTCTTTCGAGTAGCGCTCTTTGACCTCTTGAAGCAGGTCAATGACTGTCGCTTCAATAGCGCCCTGCATGCGACGCATACAAGGGCAGTCAGTGCTTGCGCATCGACTTCCTTCCGCATCCTTCAGCGTACTTGCAAGGACTCGATATGCCGTTGACAGACCTTGTAAAGAATCCTACACGACACATGCGTAAATTCAGATGCGTATACCCGCTGACACGAAAGTCTTTAGTTCAAGATGGAGGACTTGCTTCCCTGAAACCTAGAATACGCTCAACAACGAAGCTTCCAAGGTGCAAACAAGAGCATCCCATGCAAGCTATCATTTATTTTCATAGATCGGGAAAGAGCTGCTCACGAAAGATACGCAAGGAGCAATGATTCCATCAGGATTCTCTCAGATGACGCGCAGAGATTCTCAAGTAGAAGAAAACAATTTTTCTAGCATAAATAACTAACCTCGGCCTCCATGCTCTGGATAACGCTTGTCCGGATCGGTCCGAGGAGAGCTTTCTTCTCAGCGACCTTGGGTGTCGCAATGAACTGCTCTATCAGCTCATCGAGCGTCTTGAACGTCTTCTGCCGCCCCTTTGCACTGTCACTGCGCCAGAGCTCATCTGTGGCTCGCTCCCGCAGCCGAGACTCCGCCGTCCTCCCCGCGTGATCTTCCAAACTAATGACGATGTTCTTGACGACCCTGAAGTTGTCGTCCATGTTCTTCCCAATCTTTCGAACCTCCCCCTCCAACCCCTCTGCCCGGGCCTCCAGTCGCGCCGTCTCCTCCTTAATCGCGCTCCGGACTTTTCCTATCTCGTGAGTGAGAGCCTTCTGGATAGCCCGCACCACATCGTCCGAGTTCCCTCCCCCCCCCCCCTGCAGCAAAATAATAGAACGCACAATCTCGGCAGAAGTTATGCCAAAGCTTGGGGGGGAAATCTCAGATGTTTTCCTCTCCTCTGTCCAATCTTTCAGTTAAAGCATGCACGAGACTGTCAGGGTCATAGGCGTGAGGAAGCCAAGTGAGAGTTTTCAGACACAAACATGCAGCTTCATGCGAAGGATACAGCTCCACTGACAAAATGGAAAGAATTGGACAGGTTGCTGACAGTTTCATATGCTGAACACCCAAGACTTCAGAACCCACCTCGTTGACAGCAGCATTGACCACTTTTCTTCGTCTACCGGGCACTGCTGAAGATGCTCTCCCTGCAGCAAATGGACAATGTTGCCTGCTTCAGCAAGCCCAACCGCAGTTGAGGTGAACGTAAAACGGGATACTCGATGACAGTGACACCCTGACGAGGTAGGGACTGAAGATTACCACTCTGTCTCATGTGACACACTCCCGGGCTTCTGGAGGGTACCTGGCTGATCCACAAGCAACAAAGTATGGGAATTACAAAAGAAGGACTGCAGATATCAAAATTCCTTCCCATTGAACGCTCCCATGAAAAAACTCATCCCACAGGGGTCCAAACAGATGGGGTTTTTGGTCCATGTAACATCACATGACTCTGACACATTGTCTACTTGTCATCAGGACATGGGATGTTCTGCAATGATTGACGGGCTTGCAGGGCATACACAGTGGTACAATTGTGGTACAACACTTCTTCACAACCAGCGGTCGTATGACGTTTCTCAACCCCTATGCGCATTCGGCTTTATGCAGAAGTTGGTTAAGAATCTATGCTGCACCAGAGCCGTTGGTTGAGTCATTTAATTGAAGCTGGAGCAGCATGCCTACTCAACCTGGATGCAGAACCCCTCCATAGAAGCAACACCACATTGTCAAATGAAAACTAACCTCTGCTTCCGAAGCCCAGCCCTGCTGCCTGACCCCTGTCCACCTTTCCCAAATGCTCGCAGCTTGTTTGAGCTGGAAGAACCATTCTCAGCGGCAAGCTTCCCAATGCCGATGCCATGCTTACTGCAGACTAACCCAGCGCAGGAAAGACTCTGTCAGACCCACCTCCGTCCGCTCAAGTGCTAAATTCGCTGCAAGAAAAGCAGCTCAATGATCTCTGTACAGTGCTGCCAATGCCAAATCGCAAATGATGCCAATGGCGGATCATGTGTGTGTGTGACACTGAAGATCTGCAAAAGCCAATGCCAGCATTCAACTTCCAAGTTCAAAAATTTCTTGCTGTCTTGCTCTATTGAGGAACTACTAGAGGTGGAAGAGACAGGCCCGCCATATTACCCGAGGCTGAAGAGAATTTCTGGGGGGTGTGGAAAATTGGCCTTCCGGCCAATTTTCTCCACATATAGTGTCCATATGATGTCCATTTGATGCTGCATATTTATAGGCAAGTTTGGTCTTGAGACAGCTGAGTGTTGGAATACCGACTCTACTGGCCGCCCGGTTCCCAAATAATAACAATATTACGTATCTGAAGATCCATAAGCTGTGTGCTTATATAAGCTGTACTCTTGATTTTGGATGACGAAAGTTGCACTCAAAATTGCCTGCAACATGGTCATAGGTACCTACCGGTATCACGAGCCCTGGTTGCCATTACTGGAAGTCGCCACTGGCCAGTCGTCCTGATCGCCGCCAGTCGTCTCTTTTGACAATCGGACGGCTCAGACTTTACACGAGTATCGTATTACCGAAACCGGCAGCCGACGTCACGGCAAACCTGCCCATGAAGCAATTGTGGCTGTCCGATACGACTTTTTTGACTCTCGACGGCTCAAAGTCAGCCTTTTTATTTCATTGAAACTTCGCCGACAACTCTCAGAGCGAACAGTTGCAGGACGATCGCAGAGACAGTCTCTTAACTAGACATGCACACTCCCGCCGCCAGCGGCCGGGCGGCGGTACGAACGGGCATGGCATTTACGATCGTGGTTCGTAACCTGCACGACTCTAGCCGCACGTGATCGTTCGATTTTGTATTTGTCGCCTTCTACTTCGTCATCGGACGGATCACGTCTTGCATCCAATGACGTTCGATCTCAGGCCGGCTTCAATCGAAGTACGGTAATTGGCCAAGAATCAGTACGTACTGGTCGGTCCCATGCTCAGTATGGCAAGGGGCACATAGGAAGTAGCCGAACTTTTTCCGAACCGATGAAACGTCGGCGCAAGCCAGCGCAAGCGGTAGATACCGCGGAAAAGTTCGCAGGCTCAACGCGATAGATGGTACATACTTCACGGTACGTAAACTCCCCGAGGCAACTTAGCTCCCGGGAATGCCAACAAACACTAAACCTAAGCTACATTGACGCGAGACCCTAACCCACACCCTAAGGCGTTCCGCCGCCACGGTGCCCCATCCACCCTAACCCCCCGACCTAACCCCACCAAAGCCACTCGGTTGCTCGGATTGCTGGTGGCTCTGGCGTCGACAGGCATACGATTCCGAAAAAGTTCGGCTACTTTGTCCGTTTTGCCTCGGTATGACTCTGGTATTACTCCGACTCCGAGTCCCCTAACTATAACTGCTTCGATCTGCACTAGCTAAACCGTAATACGACACTCTATGCGCGCGCACACCTCCGCGCACATGCGGCCACGTTCCGACGCGCGGGCGCATTCACTGCATACCGTGGTAATATGCTCTTCAGTAGGATCCGATCAATCGAAGAGCTCCAAGCCGAGTGCCCCCTGCATCAACGTTCGACAACGCTAAATCTTATCCACAACTTCATCCAATTTTATGCACGAAGCTACCTATAATAGAGCCTGGGCCAGGCTGAGCTGGGCACTGGGCAGTTCAACTTCGAGCTGGAGGAGGAAGAACTTTCGAAGTCGGACGTACGAGGAAGCAACTTGAAGCGCCCCCAAAGTTCACTATTCGCAAGGGACCTCAGAAGGTTAGGAGTGAAGGCCGTACTTTTCAGGGGGTGAGGTTTTTAGGCCTTGGCAAATACCATTGTGTTTGTTGGCAAGGGTGCACAATGGCGACCACTGCATTGCTCAAGTCACAAGCTCTACTCTCCTGTGGCCTGACGTCAAGCCACACACAGCAGAGCACAAGTAGTCAAGCGCAGAAGCTGGCCATTCCGAGCCAGTTCACTGGCCTACGAAATGCGGGGCCAGTTGCAGAAAGGTGGACGAGTCAGACCCGTCTAGTCCACAAGAAAGTAAAAAGTGTTCGGAGAGGAGCAATGAGCGTCCAAGCAACAGCTGCCGGTGCCGTTGGGACTGCAGAGAAGCAAGTAACCGAGCAAGCCACTGTGCGCATTGGGACTCGTGGCAGGTGTGTCTTTGAAACCGACAGTCTGTTTCCAAGTCAAGCGCTGCAGCATTCAGCTAGAATGTGCTGGCAACTAGCAGCTTAGACCGTTCTTTACAGGCTCAACTGAGGTTACCAAGGGTCCCACAGCGATTTTTGGAACAGCGCCTGATTTGGGAATCCTGCGTACCTGCAATGCTACCTGCAATGCTGAGCGGTCATGCTTTCTGCAAGGCACATTGGAGGCATTGCTAGCTTTGTGGATACGTAATGTAGCATATCGGTTGTTTGTCTTGTTTCTTTCAGCATTTTTGTTTAGAATTCTTTTGAATCCATCTCTGTGCCTATCGCAAACGTTCAGTGTATGTGCGTCCATACAAAGAATGTATGTGCTGCATACCTGGACAGTCTATGTGCAGCTTTGAGGATTTTTGAGTTGGATAAGCTAACAACATGGTCTTCAATTGAATGTTGTGGGGGTGACTCATGCAGATTGACAATCTTGATGGCAGTCAAGCCAGCAGCTTTTGAGAGTGCAGGACCTGAGAGCAACTATATCTTACATTCTGGTAATGGTGGGGATGTTCTTTGCAATGAACTCCTTCTTACATTGCCAATGTGTCAAGCGTTGTTGAAGGAAAAGCAGCGCCATTATGCAGGCAAAAAGTCAGACAGTTTCTTTGATGTTTTTCGCAAACCCTAACCCAAATTATATTAATGCAATGTGTCTCTTTCACTCTTCTCGCAGCATTGTTGGATACTGCTTGACGTCTGTGCCTACTGTTAGGAGCCCTGGTTCGTTTGCCATAATGCCTCTGGTCGCTATGGTTCCAATGCAGGAGCTAGCAAGCTTCTGCTAATTCCTGGTCTTTCCAGGGGGCCTTATGTTATGCTCAAAAAAGTTGTACAACTATGTAGCTTCCTGCAATATAGGAGCCGCTGCCATTTTCGCTGGCTTTTCTGGCGGCATCGATGAAGGACCAGCTCTTTTCTTATTTGTGATTTTGATTACCACCACCGTGGCTGACTACACGTTTGTGAGCAGACTGGCTCCTGCATTTCATATCCTTTTCTTCTCTCTTATTTTTTCTCAATTTTCAAGCTTTGGCCAAAGCCAGATCTTTCTTCCAGAATCATATGCTGCGTGCAGTTGAGTATGAACCGGGAGAAGCGGCAAGTCCAGCTTTGTTGAGAGTCAATGAAAGGCTGTCGGCACGGGCGAACAGACAGCTAATTAAGACAAGCAAAACACTCGCTGAAATATTCTGCGTAGTTCTCCTCACTCTAGTTCTCCCCTTGCAGCCCCCTGGCGCTCGCCCAGGCCTACCAAACCCGCGACCGTCTCAAGCAGGCCTTCCCCGAGCTGCAAGACGAGGGCGCCATCGACATTGTCATCATCAAGACCACGGGCGACAAGATCCTCAACCAGCCGCTCGCTGACATCGGCGGCAAGGGCCTCTTCACCAAGGAGATTGATGATGCTCTGCTGGGGGGCAGGATAGACATTGCGGTGCACTCAATGAAGGATGTGCCGACGTACCTGCCTGAGGGGACTATTCTGCCGTGCAACCTGCCGAGAGAGGATGTGAGGGACGCGTTCATCTCGCCGCACGCGGCGTCGCTGGCGGACCTGCCGGAGGGCGCCGTGGTCGGGAGCGCGTCGCTGCGGCGGCAATCGCAAATCCTGCATAGGTACCCGCACTTACAGGTGAATACTGCGGAAAGTTGTTTGCGACATTCTATACCAGATGAGATGACACAACATAAAAAGCTCTGTTCCTTTCCTGAGGTCGCCCTATCTTTGGTGGCCATAAGGGAGAAAGAAGGATATTATCAGTCAACGAATCTGTACATAGACCACCACGCCTTGTCTACTCTGTGTTATCTGAGTCTTTTGAGTCAACTGCAGTTGAGCGGCATTGCCTCTTGCATTGCGTAAGCAATCCAGTTTGGACACAGACTAATCCTTTTCAGCTGCAATTGCCTCTAGGGTACTTGGTAGTAAGAAATGCAGGCTTCCCCAGCACCTCTTAATACTAGGCGCAGCGGTGAACTTGGGTGATTGTTTTGCAAACGGTAGTCCTCCCAGATTCATAGAGCCTAGAAAGATGCGGCGAAGCCTAGAGTCCTGACAGAGGGGCTACGCACCAGATGGGGGGCCGTTTGATCACTGGACTCTCCCGTTCATCAGCAGTGTCGGAAGTTTGATTACTGGACTCTCCCGTTCATCAGCAGGGTCGGACGGGAGCACGCGGGATACGCCGCCCTTCTCCGTCACTACACCAGAGTTTTTTTACGGCCCAGTCTCATTCTGTCAACTCCCGTGGTTACACCAAGCCCGCATCAGAAAGCTGGGCGTGGGTAGCATATCGATGAACAGATATACCGCCAGAACTTTCAAGCTTTGACACAAACCATCAGATGCCTTTTGGTGAGGATGATGTTGCCACAGCAAGATACTACATCAGCCTCGTCGACTAATTGCAGGTCGTCAACTTCCGCGGGAACGTCCAGACCCGCATCAGAAAGCTGAGTGAGGGGACGGTGAAGGCCACGCTCCTGGCCCTCGCCGGGCTGAAGCGGCTGAACATGACGGAGCACGTCACCGCAATCCTCTCCACGGAAGATATGCTGCCCGCGATCGCTCAGGGGGCTATCGGGATTGCCTGCCGAACAGAAGACGACAAGTCGGTGAGTGTGTTGGGCATTCAGAACTGGGGCCAACCTGGCTTGAGGGTAGTAGGCGCTTGTACGGCCGTGGTATGCTGTGGTTTTTCAGGTGTCTGTGATGTGACTGGAAGGAAACAGTCGCGCAGGTTGCGGAGTGGTAGGGGGACATGTCTGCATTTGGTTTGGTTCAGAAGGCATGCCGAGCGGATGGGAGGAAAATTAGAGAAGGCAATGCCCAGCTGTCTTGGTGGAAATCTGTGCTCTGAAGTCGGCCGGCATTTACTAGTGGCAAATGATTCTGTGGCCATCAGTGCTTCGAAAGAGGGAGGAGTTTGATGGAGGTGCACATAAGAGCATCAGCCTCTATATGGCGATGGCCAAGGGGTCACCAGAAGGCTCTTTTCAATGACCACCATATGGGGCTTTCAGCTCATCCGCCTCACGGCAGACCCGGGGTTGTGTCTCGAGGCATGTTGGCCTCTTAAAGGCCGGTGATCATGGTTTTCAAAGCATTAGGGAAAGTGGAGTGCCTTCTGGCTCCACTTTGCAAGTGCCGACATGTCAGCCCCTCAATATTCTTCTGCTGCCTCTGTCTCGGCATGTGAGATGGCAACCTCTGAACCCCTTCGCCCCAGAGTCTCCTTTCACCTTTCTATCTGTCACGGTGAAAATGAAGATAAGGACCCCTCATATCTCTTGAGAGTCCTGGACTGGGCTAACATGGCTGTTGGTAAACTTTAATGTAGCATTACACTCTAAAAGCTCCCTGAACATCTCAAAAACTTTAGCAAATGTGATCTAGAGAAAGGATACTATTTTCAAGGGCATGCAGTTGGACAGATTTCGGACCTAAAAGATGGTTTTATATATGCAGAAGGAGTACCTGGCTGCGCTCAACCACGAAGACACCCGGCTGGCCGTTGCTTGTGAGCGGGCTTTCTTAGCGACCTTGGACGGGTCGTGCCGGACCCCCATCGCAGGGTTGGCGGTCAGGAACGCAAGCGGGGGGTGCAGCTTCCGGGGGCTGGTCGCCACCGTCGATGGGAAGCAAAGTGAGTTTCGAAGTTTATTTGGTCAACGCGTTCTGGCCATTGTCAGGCTTACTTTAGCCGTTTCCTCTGTTATATTGGTTTGCAGTTTCGGAATTTGCAGAAGACAATTGTTGAGTCGAAAGGAGACGAATTTGAGGCGAATTAGAGTGATCAACACTGGACCTCATATTCTTCTTTCATCTGGTTTGCTGTCCAGCGTCGAAGTTTCTCCCTGATCGATGTCTGGATTGATTACCAATTTGGTCGGAAACTGTGGGAAATTGTCGTCGAGTAGAAGCATATGGGAAATGAGGCGGACTCGTTTGCATGCCTTACGTTCGTGCTTAGCTTGTTTGTAGCATGCAAACAAGGCAGTGTCGGATCCGGACCAGTTGAATTGCGTTACCAAGCATGAGTGTGTTTCTGGATGCCTTCCTGAATTTATTCACTTCAAAGTCTGGAGTCTTGAACATTGCGTCCTGGCGCAAATGTTGTGTCTGCCACTTGCTCTCGCATGCTGACAACCGTTGACGAGGCAACCCTGCTGTGCTCCGCAGTACTGGAGACCAGCAGGGAAGGCAACTACACGTACGAGGACATGGTCGCCATGGCGAAGGACGCCGGGCAGGAATTGTTGAAGAACGCCGGTCCCGGGTTTTTCGATTGGTAAAGAAACGCGTTGGGCTGAGTCAGCTCTCGTCCTACTGAAACAGTGTTTGGGATGCTTGTATAACAGTGACGTTGGACGGCAATCCACTTTCCGCATTGTCGGGCTGACCGGAGAGGCAGGAGTCTACTTGAGGTCGTTGACCCCGAGCAGATCTATACTCATTGACCATTAGTAATAGTCGCAAGGATGCCATGATGTTTCGTATAGCAACGGGCAAGGTTGGGATTCACCCGGAGATTTTCGAGTCCGGTCTAAGAGGTCCCAACTTTAAGCCATGATGATGAGCGGATCGAATATGGGCCTCGAAGAAGCACAATTGCATCTACTTGTATGGCAGCGTGCGCCCGCAGCCCTGACACATCGTTCATGAGCTAGGCGCAAACCTGGCCAAACGGCCCTGGTCCATCAAAAGCTGCACCAGCTAGGGTACATGATGAAAAGGAACATCACGTATACACTACCATTGGTGCGGTGCATTCGTTCGTTAGTGGGCCAAGAAAACATGTGCACATGCATCATGAGGGGATCATTGATTGTGAAAAATTCCAGACTGCGATGCTATATCCTGCCTATCGTGCTTCTGCCAGTGAACCAACGAGTGTCCACTTCGAGTATTTAAATGCACTATATACTCAAGCTGGAAACATTGTTTGAGTCACTTTGGAGCTGGGGCCCTATAGGGCCATGATGCATGCACGTTGTTTGCACACTAGCTGAATCCTATGCACCATTCTCCTTTGAATGTGAATACCAAGAGCGCACCCGCTCTACAATACACCCACGAGCTAACACCCATATAAAAATTCGCTCGCAGCTGAAGAGGCGCTGGGATTTTGGCTAAGTCAGAATTGGCTTTCCGATAAGTTCTCACTCAAGTTATGAGCTTCGAGTTCGGATTCCGCCCAATTTATAGTCCAGGAATCACTATATAAGTTAGATAACTTCTAATTCCTAGATCTTTGTCGAATGCAGTCATCGATTATCTACTTTATTCAAACAAACATTATAGACTACTATGCTATCTGAGACCCTACTTA